GAGTATGGTCTTACCCCGTTTATAGCATTGTTCCAGCTAGGCGGGGGACGAAGAGGTAGCTTAGTGGGTAAAGCGTTCGCTCGTCACGCCGAAGACCAAGGTTCGATTCTCTATATGGGTACAATGTGTGAAGCCAATTCTGGTGTCCCCCGCCGTGATGTTGCTGGAATATTGCTAAAAGCGGCGTAAAACTAAACTCAGTCAGTAAGTCAGTCAGGTATACTAGTGTTTAAGGTCAATTTGAGTCTGAACACTTCTTAAAACACGATGGCTTCAGCTGTGGATTGCGACTTTAAACTTTAAACCAGAAAATATTTTCACTTCATTGGAGGTTGGGGATTGTTGGGTGTGATGGGTTTGGGTGGTTTGTGTGTTCTGCTTTCCTGTTAATGTCTGTATTTTTAGGGGAGGGACTGGTTTATTTGCTTGTTTTTACGAACCTTTGCAAATTTGGACCTTCTCGCTGTGACTGTGCTTCGGTTCAATCAAATACATTCATTTTTCTGTTAACATCATCTACTTCTGGACAGCTTCACCAGTAAACACGCATTGTTCTGGAAGTCCGAAACTGTTTTCAGTATTGCCAGTGCCGCAGCCATATTGAACAACATTCTCGTTCATATAACACCGCCATTTTGTTTCCAATGTATTGAAAATGTGTGATACAGTTGTTGGCTCAACATGTATTCTGTCTGTGGCGAGTTTATAATTTTTTGGGTAAAAATGTGTTCAATTTCTGTTCTAAAGTTTTTCACCAGCAGTGGCACCCGAATCAACAACAATCGGATTTCCAATATGGTCGCCACCGGATGTTCAATACGTGTTCTGGAAGCATATTCCCCCAAAAGCACCGTGTGAATAATAAGGGTTTTTTTTGTCTTGGGAATGTTCAACTTGCTATCGGGGCGGTGGGGTAGTCTAGTGGTGAAATCGTTGCCTCGTCACGCCGAGGATCCGGGTTCGAATCCCCACATGGGCACAATGTGTTAAGCCCATTTCTGGTGTCCCCCGCCGTGATATTGCTGGAATATTGCTAAAAGCGGCGTAAAACTAAACTCAGTCAGTCAGTCAACTTGCTATCGGAATCCCTGAGACTGGAATCACATCAAAGGCATCCCCTTTTACCATTCTCTACAACGTTATTTCACAGATATACTCATGAGTGTCTGAGCAGGAACTGTCGTGGAAACAGGAGTTCTTCAGCTGTACTCATTCCTCTGCAGGGGTGACTGTTTTAGATGGACTACACCAAAGGCTGGAGCTATTGAGTTCGGAATCATCCACCCAATTCCACTTCAAACTAGGCACATCCAGATAGGCCCCAATTGAGCGTCTACCGTTTACATTAATACTTGCAAGACACGGAAGTTTAACATAACATTTGTCTTAATTCTTAAAGGATCAAAATTATATATTTTTAGACCGGAATTATACATCTGTGTGCCAAAGGGACATAACTAAGCACAATGAATCGACTAAAACAAATGGGCCACTCCTTTCCCCTCCCCTCCCCTCATGCCGACCCCCATATTAAAAGAGCCCTGTTGTTGACAAAACTATAGTTTGTTGTACTCAGCGTACTCCGTACTCAGCAATATTCCAGCTATAAGACCGCGGTTTGTAAATAAATCAGTCTGGTATAGACAATCCAGTGATCAACTGCATAAGCATCAATCTACGCAACTGGGATACGATGGCACGTGTCAACAAAGCCAGCGGGCCTTACCACCCGATTCTTGTAGTCGACTCTTACGACAGGCATTGGTTGGTGAAGGCCAATTTTAGCCAGGATCTTCACGGGTAGACGACACTAAACCCATGCTTGTCGTAAGAGGCGACTAACAGGACCGGGTAGTCGGGCTCGCTGGCTTGGTTTACACATGTCATCGGTTCCCAATTGCGCAGATAGTATTTACAGACCGCCGCCATATAGCTGGAATATTGCTGAGTGCGGCGTAAAACTTAACTCACTCACTCACTTAGACGATACTATAGCAATAGTCTATGACCATGGTGAACCGTTAAGTCTGGAGTATTCTAACCTGGACCTTCACAGGTAGACAACACTATAGCAATAGCCAGTGACCATGGTGTACCGTTAAGTCTGGAGCAACGTGAATTGTTGTGGTACTGGTCACCAGCATCTACCCGGAATGCCACTGGAGGAATATTATTATTATTATTAACAACAACAACAACAACAACAACAACAACAACAACAACGACAACAACAACGACAACAACAACAAGAAAACATTACACAGTCGTTATCATGTAATATAATATTATAGAAAATGCACGCATACCATTTGCCACCATGAAGTCATCAACCAGCTGTATTTTGCCATGCGATGGCAGGGTCACCAAGTCTCCACCGTCCATTTCGATCTTGACGCCGCATTAGCCAGGGCAGAACTGGACACCCATATGCATATGTCTCCTATCTGGCTGTATGGAGAGACACATTCGGCTGTGGGACAATAGAAGGACAATTGCATTAAAACACATAGCACCACAATTGTTTTATTATTTTTTGAGGAACGTACAGGTGTGTGCTTATCTTTGTACGTTTTTTTGTTATAAATATATGAAAATAGGATAATGTGCTTAAGCCTTGAAAACACTTACGGTCTAGTTACAGGCAGTTTCTTTACCAGGTCCACATACAGTTTTTCGAGAAGGGACATTGCTATACCACCTTCAGTTATGGCCGAGGGAGAGAGGGAATTGTATAAAAGACCGGTCCGAAGACATTATGGGCTAATTACCCTGTTTTCGACAGCCATGTTTACAGTTATAACTGCATCATACATACGACTTTAATAAAAAAAAAATCACAAATCACAGAAGAGCAGCATAATTACCCTGCTTCTGCGAGTTTTTGAAAGGTAGAAACGCAAGCGGACTATGTGCGTGGTTGAGACTATGTTTAAAAGAGGAATCGTTAAATGGAATAGGATTTCAAACATATAAATGCGCATGTCGCAAATGCGTTAACATGCGTACAAAATAGCATTCTAAGCAAACACTATTTTAGAAGGTCAACGTATTACTGCATTAACGCTGGTAGAAGTGAAGATCCTTTCCCCAGACTCCATATTCTTAAAGATGTTTTCAAAACACATATTCTTAAAGATGTTTTTCAAAACACAACACTGCACATCGAAATATATACGAGAGGATATGGGCGCTCTTCAGTATTCATAAACCTATGAGGATGATTGCAAACATGGATGAAAAGTGTACCCCTTGTAACTTTATACCTTGACATGATTGTGTTTGTAATATGCATATTTGTGTTGCTTTATATCTTATTTGTCAATTTGCATCCTGAAACCACGTCTATACTTGTTTTGCTGTTGGATTGGCATCAATGGAATAAGTTGTGTTGGTGTAGCAGTTAAGGCCTTCCTGGAAATATTACACTTTCGCATGCTCAAATTGTGTAATTATACTTGACATTATATCGTTATGAAGTAATTGTTTCATTTTATTACTTCTCATATTTGTGATTGGGTGTGTTGATTACTGAACACCTACCTGACTGTAATTAACCGAGCTGATTACAGGTGTAAATTCTAGCAATTTCAAGTCGGACTGAACATGTTGAAGGACCAGTTGTTTGTATATGCAATGTATTGAGACACTGTAAACTGGCATTCAGATAAGATGATAGTTCCTAAGCTTTTATAAAGAAGCAAAGCTGTCACACGCTTTACTATAATCAAGAGCAACTTTCTTAACTTCAGAACGATATCCCTTGAACACAAAAATTCCGGCCAATATAATGTCAATATTGAGAGCTGTACGCCTTACGTTGATTTACATATTGCACTGTAAAAAATTCCCACGTAAATTTACGACGAAATAACTGGCAGCATGGTTGCCAAACTTTTGTCGTGAATTAACATTCGAAATGTAAATTGTAATTTACAGTGATTCCGTAATTTAACAGACATTCTGTAAATTTACGACGAAATAACTGGCAGCATGGTTGCCAAACATTTGTCGTGGATTAACATTCCAAATGTAATTTGCAATTCACAGTCTTTCTGTAAATTAACATTAATTCTGTATTTCAACATGAAAAGGAAAACACTAAAACTACACGAATTTCTTGAAATACATAGAACATGACAAAGAAGGAAGGTTTGCGAATTTTTATTATTACATCTGGAACAATAAGGTGTGTTAAATAGTGTAATTAACACCATGAAAGAAAAGTTAAAGCATGCAAACAGCAATTCAGTCTTAGTGCATCATCATTTAGTTATGATCCATAAAGTCTAGTGATTTAAATCTCAACATGATGTACTCAATACAAATGCAAACAAACAGCCTGTTTGCAATATATGAAAGCTAATTTCTCTAATAGCAGTAATTTAGTATGATTGTAGGCAACTAGCCTGTTTGCATGGTATGCAAACTAATGTCACTAACAGTTGCATAACTCAACACAAAACCCCAAGAGAAACTTGAATACCAATACCAACACAATTGCAACAGATTCATTTATAGAAACATATTATGTCCACTGTTTCAATGAACAATTTAACAAAGTTATTACCTGCTGAAACAACCAAAAATTCATCATCTTTATGCATTCTTGCACACCATCAGAGCCATGTCAAAACTAAGATAATTATAATGCTGTCTCACTTGCAATGAAATTTTTTTACATGAAACGTGCTGCTCACCAGATATTTTCCATTATACCTGACAATTCTGAAACCATCATTTAAGAAAATGTTGATGATACAAATGTGTCATAGTTCTAAATAGTCTCATAAACATAAAGCTCTCTTCAGACAAGAGGTTCATGGGTGGACAGACAACACACTATGCCAAAAACTCACTTTGACCTGAGGTGCCACTAAAAACAAACTTACAATAACTGGTTCACAATAACTTTGGAAAACTTCCACCAAATAAATTGTACATGAATCACCATGTCCTTTCAGTCAAGTGAGATAACAGTAACAACAGTCACAGTTCACAACTTAACAGGTAGTCCATTCAAAATTCGCCATTTGGTTGATAAGTCGCAGAACCTTGGCATTTACACTTCCAGCACAACTAGATTTCCTTTTTCGGTCACTCTTGCTGCCCCTGTTTGGGTTGATTCCAACGAAACATCTGAAAGTAAACCAAATAGTCTGTGTGTGTTATTTCATAGAAACAATAACCATGAAGCAGATTCAGTGAAGATAAGCATAAAATACTAATACTTCTATTGAGTGCAAGCTGAAAACCCTGACCACAAAAGTTGACTTGGACTTGCCAAGGATCAATGACACTGAATAAAGAAATGGCCCGCAATACCTTTAGCTATCTCGGTACTAGTTAGTAGGGTGGTGCTACTATCAAATGAATAATAGAAGCAGTGATTATCATTGGATATTATTTTCCATTTGTTCAGATGGAATAGGAAAAAGAAATCTAGTAGTAAAAACTTTTTTTTAAAACCATTGAAATGTGTCAAACATGGAAAAGGTTCACAGGTTATGTTCTGACAAATGTATTGAATGAATTATTGAATCTATTATGATTATATTTTGGAAATTTACTAAACAAACAATTTCAATTATGTGCAAAATTTCATCCAGAAATATTGAACAGTCTTTATCCTACAAACAAAATGTGACAGATGAGACAGACATTCTTAGATCCCTCCCAACTTTGTGACGGGATAATAATAGATAACTTATTTCCCTTAGCCATTACAATATAAAATGAATTTCAGAATGATCTAAAAACATTAATTTTTGAGATCAAAGAAATTTTTCTGAGAAAAAAAACATTACACTTTTCAGGCAGAGATCAAAGTCAAATAATTTTTATGAGAAAACCAAATCTCATTAACCAACTTCTGGAAATACAGACTGCTTCCTCAGGCAGATTTTAGTAGTAAAGAACCACAAAGTCAACTGGACACTGGTACAGTGTGACATACAATTTTGCTTGCCCGACAGAAAAAAACACTGGACTCGGGCGTCGGGCAATGGGTTATTTCCACCCCTGTACTTGCACCAGGTGCAACCTAAGAAAAAAACCTAGTTGCACCAGCCAAATTCCAGTTGCACTGCTTTTAGTGCAATAGTAATGAAAGAAATATACTATTGAATTGTTCAAAGTTTACATAATGACATAATTATGTTTGTAATGTTAGACAAATAACTAGGTTGCACCAGTGCAAGTAACTAAGCACTAAATCAAGCCCTGCAGTACACTTTCATCTATAACAAGCAACGTTTTCAAATAAGCTATTTGAATCACCCAATACTGAAATTTTGTAGTGAAATAATCACGAAAAGCAATAATTGGCAAGTGATACTCACCTTTGTATGAATTCCAAGGTAGCTGATGCTCCATGTTGGTACTGAATGTTCAGAATGTAAAAGAGAGCAAACAGGGCACTCAGGGATGTTATAAAGCTTGTCAAGTCAGACATCACCACCACTCTGTCAACCACAATCCTGAACTTTTTGGCCTCCATAACACTCCTGCCTGTAACATGAATGATACATGCAAATATATGTTTCTTTTCTATTCGTTATGTTCTAAACTTTGATACAGACATTCTACCAGAGTACAAAATTAGTTTAGAAATTTTGTTTATCTGAGAACTCAGGGTAAAGACTCAAGAGTGATTGTGTATCCCTTAGATACGTGCTTTTTCTTGAATCAAGCGCTAAGAGAGAGCTTTTGCCCCAAACTGGGTTATTGCTGTACAAGCTATATTACTCATCTCACACAAAATTTACCAGAGCAAACTATCCGTGGCAAGCCATCTGTGTCTGCAGCTTCAACTTCAGCTCTGGTAGACGTGTCCTGAAAGGTACATGTATAACAATATATTCAGTACCAAAGCAACACATGAAGTTCATAAACATCTATCCTTTTCAGCATGTTATTAAATAAATCTTGCTGCAGCTACTACACTGTGAAAAGACACTAAGCTTTTGTTCTTGGATAGGAGGCTGGTTTTCATTGGTAAGGTTGGACATGTTACCCATTATTGTTTTCTAAAATAAATATCATGACAAGGTTATTCCCCAAACACCCAAAATTGTAAAACGACTAATAACTAAGAAGTTCTAAGTTCTTACATCAACTGTCAAGAATAGTTGTTCTTCCTTCTCTGAGAAGTACTTCATGATAGCAAGGATATTAGCAGGTAGCCAAGCAATAACACTGTCCTTTGCACTTTGAGCTTTAGCCTCTTTGATGATTTCATCAGCTTCTTTACAAATACCAGATTCTTCTGTTTTAAAAAACTTGTTCAGTCTGTGAGCTTTCTTAGAAAAAGCTTCGCAGATTGTGTTTCTGATATCCAGCCCAACCAGTAGCTTGAAATGGAGAAACAGACCCCTCTCTGTGAATAAAAATGGCCATTTAGACAACAGATCCCTGACGCTTTCTCCTTCGTTGATATTGTATCTCTGTAAGCTGTATGTATCACGAAGTTGAGTTTCTATCATCTCCCAATCATGATCCTTTGGATTCTGATTGTTGTACTTTCTGCACATGTCTTCTCTAATTTCTTCCAAACTTTCTGCTGTATCGCTGTTCAAACTTGGTGAAAAGTTAATGCATCCATAAGAATCAACTTTCTTCTTTGACGTTTCTCCCACAACTTGGACTTCCTGAGAATCATTTCTTTTCCCACTTGATTCTCCTACGTCACTTGTCTTCACACCCATCTTCACTCCCATTGGTCTATTCAGATTGTCATTTCTGTTAAGGAGCTGCTTTGCAAATGAATCATATCCTGTACCTACAACGATATCTTCTATCCTATCCTCTAGACTCTTTGGAAACCTCTGTACAATTCTCTTTGCAATGACACTGAACTGTGTTTTTGTCGCATGAAAGGTCCTCTCTCTGATTTCATCAACAATGATTCTCACCAGTTTTCTCCTGGCATCAGGCATTAGTCTTTTCCCTTTCTGCAATGGATCTGGTGGAGGAAAGAAAGAGCATATCGTTAACAGGGTATATACATTTCCTAATTTGAAGCAGAAGAAAATTTAAAAATATATAAAAACACATTTCACTGACAACTTACTCACCATAATAAAATGACTGCTGACCAATCTAGTCATTGAACATGAGTTGAATACAACTTTGATAATGAGCATTAGCAACATGATGGAATCTGACCTGTTATATCTCTGCCCATTTTGGTCCATGGAATATCAACCTTGTAAGCCCAGTTTGGATCTGTGTTGGTGCTGTTCTCAAAGAATATCGGGCTTGGTGACCCTAAACTGCTTAAAGGAGACATCGATGCTGTTCCAGAAACTGGACTTGAAGGTTCAGATTGAGATGAGGACCTTTTTGCAAGTTGAACATTCACTTGCCCACCTTAAAAAAAACCAATACAAATTCAGTATGTATTAGTAGAATTATATGAATGCAACTTAACTGAAGCAATTGTAAGAAACTTCTACTAGTTCTAGCTTCATCTGGCTTTATTGTCAGCCACCGTAAACAAAATGGTTTATTGTAATGAAATAATATATAAAAATATACAATCTACAATACATATAGGGCTCAAACATTCACTTCACTGACATATACATTAGTTGTCCACTAAATCATAATGCTTTTGAGAGAATTTATTGTGAAGAATAAACAAGATTTTGGCTCAGTATGTCAGCTCGCCATAAGAAAAGAAAACCAGGCAAGTCATGCCATGGGCATTCCATTTGTCAACCCCTGTGGAAAACAATACAGGGACACAATATCTAAACACAGATGAAAAAGATCAACAAGGAAATGTACTCGACTTACCAGATGTGAGGATTTTCCTTATCTGGATAGGCTTCAAAAACCCTCAAGATCTTGCTCCTGTAGAAGTCCTATATCATCAACAGTTTCTACACCCAATGACATTAATCTTCCCATCAATGACTGCAGCAACGTGTCATCAATATTGGGTAAAATGTTCATTATTTCTTCAGTAAGTCCATCAGTGGGATCAGCCATTATTTCTCTAGACTGTGTTTCAAAGAAATGTAAGTTTCACCGAAAGCTGTATATTCACTGAGGGGATGTAGATCTGCAAGTTCAGATGTATTAACACATACAATTGAAAATGTTTCAAATATCAGAGCACAAAGGCCAAGTGTTGGAACAGGAAGAGACTTTCCAAGATGCAATAGAAAGAAAACAGTTGAGTCCCTGACAAGAATCCCTTTGATATAGCCTTCTCTTCTAATATGACTGTCAATTCCTGCAAATGATAGCACCAATACCATGCCAGTCTCATATTTTATTCCTCTGTACACAAGTTTATTGGAAATAATGGTGTTCATCCCAGTAAAATACTTTTCTTTAACAGCTTCCTGGAAATCTTTGCAGTAATTTTCTGTAACAAAAGGGATACCATCATCACAGCGAATTTCACTTGAAAACAAACTAACAGAACAGTGATAGGTTTGCAAAAGTTGATGCCTACATGCTAGAGTTTTAGTGATGTGTTTGTAGTTGTGAAATTTTCTCACACACTGTTTAAAGTAGGAGTGTTTACTTTCAAATCTAATTGTCCAAACATGTATCAGAGGACCAAAAGCTAAAATCATTTCAGGGTAGTGAGTGAGGAAGTGGTGTTTTGGACGCAGTGGTGTATGAGCAAAGAGTGACTTTCGATCGCAGATATATTCCTCGATGCAAACCTTGAGATATGCGATCTGATTGAAAGATATGCGTGGAGAACATATAATTTCAATGACTTCCTTCAGTTTCAAATACAACTGCCAAACACTGTCAGTGTGTTGAATCCATGATCCAACCAACAGGGAAAAAAGTCTGATAAAAACCCAGTTCTGTATAGCTTGACCTCCTGCTTTGTTACTTTGATGATTTACAGTGCATGGACGATCTAAAGCGTCAGTGCTTTTATAAGGAAAGTTTTCAATTTTCCTATTTAACTGATCATAGGTAAAAAAGTGTTTCTCTGTTGCAAAATAGCGAATCATTAGTGCCATGTCATATGGAACTATCCCTTCAAACAAGTCATGACCAATGCAGGGGGGCAAACCTGGCATGGCAACATGGTAAAAGTCTAAAGTGTTCATAATGCTGTCTGATTTTATGCCCATATGATTTGCCATGTCTGGATTGTCCATGAGAATTTGAACAGAGTGCTTGTAGAGTTCTAATGATGTAACTCAGTCTCTTCTTTTTATAGAACAGTATCCAGAAACTCTTACCCACCTAACTGACTCCAGCTACACTCAATGTCCCTTTGATGTAATCATCTTCCCCAACTCAACCAGTTTTGACAACACATTTTGGGCACCAAATACTTTCAGGTAACTCTCCTTGCACAAAACAGCTAACTGCATATGATCTATATTGGACCTATTGTGAACATTAAAGTTGGCTAAAGTGTAGTATACACCAATCAATTTATGCTTTTTCTTTGCTGAACCCAATGGATTTACTACCTCAAATGCATCCTGATAAAGGATTATTGAATGTTTGTTCCCTCCTGCTCAAAAGGGTATTTGACTTGTAGACTACCCCATCATGCACATCTCTGAGTATATGTTCAATGTTTGATGGTTCAAAATTAAAACTATCTGGAAAATGCTGATACAACATTTTAATTGTGTCCTTAATTGACACATACTGGTATGAGGATGCCTTCTCATTGTTATCAAAACCAAGATAAACCTCTGTTGGTTCAACATGGGCAAAGTTTTGTTTATAAAAGGTGTTTCTTTTCTGGTTTGTTTTCAAAGGTCCTTCATTGCATGATGAGAATATATCACTGACAGTTATTTCATCAATAATTTCACCCATCACCTCTTCTGGCAGTCCTATTTTTTTCATTTTCTCAGTGACATTGTGTTTAAGAATGGACTGGCTTGCATTATGCATTTCCTGGAATTCAGTCACAATTTGTTGTAAGGTACTAACTGGCAAAAGATTCTTCCTCTGCAGTTTCATGTAAAAGCATGCAAGATTTCTTAAATACTGATTCTTTGTGTCATCAGTGACCTCTGGTTCAAATTCTTTATTCATGTCAGTTATTTCATCAGAAGGGTTGGTTCCTCCATCTAACATGTTTAGGCCTGAATCAACTACCATACTCTCAGAACTTGTGTTACCATCTATCAATGACACAATGAAATCATTTTCCAGATGTTCCAAACTTTGTGACCTATGCTTTCTAGATAAGTGACTTGTAAAGGTAGACACTTTGGTGAAGCACGAATTACACTGTTTGTAGGGACATCCAACACGATCGTGCCTTGCAATATGAAGTTTCAAATGTTTTATGAAATCGTGAAATTTCGTAAACCTTTCTGAACAATCAAAGATACTGCAGGCAAGTACATTTCCTTGCATAATCTCACTGTCACTGCGCTGCACATTCTGTCCAGGGTGTAAGTGATCTCTAACTACATGTGATTTGAACGATGAATAGGTATTAAAATCGCGTCTACATTCGCCGTAACAGCAAGGGAATCTGACATTGGCATCGTTGCGATGGTACTGATAGTGGGCAACACATTTTCTTTGAGTACTAGATAAGTATGAACAGTGTTTGCATCAATACATGACGATATAGTGGCCACTATCTGCACGGAACTGATGAATTGTACAACTATCAAATTGTTGAACAAAAACAGATAAAATACTCGACAAAACATAAAAAAGTATTCAATAAATTGTACAACTGCCCCATGGAAAGTCTCTTCCTGTCACGCTCTATGCCTTTACCTGCTAATCATAATGAATTTTGAGCTCCCGCGGTTGCCAACTTCTTAGCTGTACAATATGGCGGACCGGTGATGCTACTGCGCACGAGCGCGATAACCCGGATTAGTATCCCACGATTCAATGCTTACGTGCAGACGTGAATATTTCACGTCGGTTCAAGCGTAGAAATTACAGGGATTTTTTACAGTGTACAAGTATGCCCAGACCGTCGTGGACCTCGCCAGTCGTTACAATGAAGCCGAACTGTTGACAACTAAAGATTCGAACGAAGTCGCCAATGCATTAGAACGCATCTACAACGACGTCTTGTTGATTCTCAGTTCATATATCCTGTGTCCTTCGTTTCTCAAACTGTTCATTTGGTGTTTGAACGTTTTATTCTTGAACAGGGCTTCCTTGAATCTGGCGTGCTTGAAGTGGGTTTTCACAACCGGTTTTTCACGCCTTTCGCCTTTCTGATTTCGTCGTCGTCTGCTTTCTGATGGAATACATCTTGGGTCTCAATGCGATGTATTCGGCGATCGGCGTGCCCGCGCATTCGTCCTTCATCTTGCCGAGCGCTTTTTTGTTTACAGCGTCGTGGATCGGGTGGTCTTTGGATAGTCACTTGTGTCGTACAGGTGGATGTGTTTTGCCATGTCCTTGTACACGTCTTCGGTGCGAATTTCCATCAACAACGAATCCGTGTCCGTGTACAGCACCTCGCATTGATCGCCGTACTGCTTCTTGAACTCTTTGTAATAAAAGTCGTACATCAGGTGCTTGTATATACTAGCCACATAAAGAAACTGTGCATTGTCAAAATATTATCCCAGTTGATAAGTACGATAACAATGTCAAAGGTACATACAAACTGTAATGGAGGGATCATGAGACCATAACAAGTCGGGAGAATTTCAATTGAAAAGTCAATCACAATGACGTCACGAGTCCACAAGCGGGACAGCTGTCAAACGACCATGACACAAGCTCAATAACGGGTATGTCCACCATCGGCATTGAGAACAGCAGTGCATCGACGACGCATAGAGCCTATCAAACGTGCAAGGAAGGCTTGTGGGATGTCACGCCAGATTCTCTCAAGTTCTGTTGCAAGGTCAAGGACGTTATCTGGCGGATGAGGAAGACGGCGTAGACGTCGATCCATCTCGTCCCAAACATGCTCTATCGGGGAGAGATCCGGTGAATTTGCAGGCTAGGGCAGTAAGTCAACGTTGTGGTGTTGCAAGAAATCCATAGCAACCCTTGCCGTATGAGGGCGGGCATTGTCCTGTTGGAATGTTAACCCAGGGCCATGACGTTGCAGAAAAAGAATTGCCACTGGTCGAAGAATCTGATCCCTGTAGCCCACACCAGTTAAGTTGCCCTGAACAATCACCAAAGGAGTTCTTTGGCGTGCTGTTATTCCACCCCAAATCATCACGGAACCACCACCAAAGAAATTCCTCTCCAAGACACAGGCCTGTGCATAACGTTCTCCCACGCGTCTATAGGCACGTTGACGTCCATCACTATGGGAAATGTTAAATATGTACTCATCTGCAAAAACAACATTTCTCCACCAAAACAAGGGTCTGCGGACATGATTTCGGCACCACATTCGGCGAGCTTGTCGATGACGTTGTGTCAGGATAGGCCGTATGGCGGGACGTCGTGATCTGATCCCGTGATGACGTAAACGTTGTCGAACTGTGTTGGAGTTGATACGGCGAAGTCCTGGGATGGTTCAGGCAGTCATCACTGCAGTCTGAAACCTGTGGCGAAGATGGGTCACCCTTATCCATCTGTCCTGTCTTGGCGTTGTTACACGTGGACGTCCAGAACGTGGCCGATCGATGACGTCTTTGTGTTCTGGTAGCGTCTCACCAGTGCAGAAATGGTGTTCCGGTGGCTAGTGGAAATGTGCAGCCACTTGTCGTTGAGACATTCCCCCACGGACCATCCTATTGGCCTCATGACGTTGTGCAGACGTGAGCCTTGGCATGCTATGCGTTTCAATAGCCGTTTAATTTTTTGAACGATTGCAAGGGCAGGGGTTGAGCTTTCCAAAGTGACAGTATTGTGTGGCATTCATTTGCTCTGTTTCTCTTTCCCGGAATGCACGTGCAACAACGTATTGCACGTCTCAAGGACGAACCCACTGACGTCATGGAACGTGGCACGTGCATGCATGTTGGATACATGTCACTAATCTCTGAGTTTAAATCCTTATGTGTCTACACAGGTTTGATAAATTTTGATTTTAATTTTTGAATGCACAGTTTCTTTATGTGCCTAGTATATAAGTTAAGGATGCTCATCCTCATGTAAACGGGCCGGTTGAGAATGATGTGACTTTTGTTCATGTGCAGCGCTGCCAAGTCACAATATCTTGCTTCGGTTGAATGCTGGGCTGGCTATGAGTTTCATGATTTTTTCTTCTTCGTGAGCTCGGACTAGTTTCACGTTGACTCTTTTTCACAAATTCTCCATCGTTTTTACAAACACCGAGTTGTTCATGAGCTTGTAGAGGTTTTTCTCAAAGTCGCTGGTGGCTAGCTTTCGTAGATCCGTGTTTAATCGAATGTAGGGCTCCATCCACGGACTTTGATCAAATTCCAGCGCTCTGTGAATTTTCGTGAGTTTCATTCCCAGCTATAAATACAGCTGCAGGTTGCAATAGTGAACGATGTATTTTTTCTTGTTCATCAAGTTCGGTACGAGTTTTTCGACGCTGGTCAGCTTATTTTTTCCAGCAACGTTTGTTGATATTCTGACATCCAGCCCGACTTCACCGTCAACCGTTCGGGAGCGACCGGATAGCTGTTGTGCGATTTGTGTAATTCCGCGGGATAGTCCAAGTCCACTTCGAAGATGAAGCCTTTGTTCGAATTGGGCGCGATGCTCATGACGTCGATGTCGGAAACCCATTCGAACTCCCAAGTGGGTAGATACTGAGATTGTTGGCGTCGAGGTAAAGAATGTGATTGGTGGGTTTGCTCAGGTCGTAGCCGTTTAGGTACTTGTTGTTGGCCTTCACGTACCGTTTGGAGGTCATGGAAACCCAGCCTCGCAGCCCTTTCTTGACGAACAGGTGCATGTCGTAGTCGGTGAACAGTGTCAGCTTCACGCCGGGTTTTTTTCAACAAGGCATCCCAAGAGAGACCGGGGTTGAAGAAATACCACGCGGGGTCAAGGTAGTACTGTTTCAAGCACATTTTTCTGCATATCTCGAACACGTCGGCCAGCAGCAGCACGTCGTTTTTTATGTACAGATCGTGGTAGCCCAGTTTGCCCCACACGTTGAGGGCGTGCGCGCAATCGTCCTGGGAGATGGCCGACTCGGTCAAGTTGCTGTAAAATCGGTCGATGGGAAGTAATCGCGTCTCGTCGAACCTGGACCAGCCGTCCATGTATTCGTAGGGGCAGACGCCCTTCCTCAGCAGCAGATGTCGAGTCTCGGCGTCGGTGTATTGCCGGGTGATGTCGAAGTCGTTCGGGTCGTGATCTTGTCCTTTTTGATAAAGCCAATGAGTTTAGTTTATATCATTGAATTTTCTGTCTCTTTTGACAGAAACGTGATTGGCAAGATCCACGAAAAGCATGATAAATATGCGGACCTCGCCTTTGAAATGTCTCGCTTGCATCCCAAGTACATTGTCATCAGGCTCCCCATTGTTCTCGGTGCCCTTGGTTTGGTACCTCCTGATCTCTTGGCGCAGATCAGGAGAGTGCCCGGGTTCTCCACCGGGAGCACAGCCCTTCTGACACTCTGGATAAAGCAGAAGGCTGCAGTCTTGGGGAGTCTACATATTCTCCGGAAAGTTCTTGGTGGGTTCGTCTAGGCAGAGTTTTCTGGGAGAAGTCCCATTCGCTGTCTGGGCTGCGTGTAGAGGGGGCGAGGGCCCTGAGCTGATGATGAGCCTCACCAGCCTGACTGTGCCAGGATCACCCGAACCCTCTCTGCTGCATTTTTCATCTTAATCTGTAAAACATAATAATAAATAAATAAAATATAGGGACCTCGCTTATAAAGTGTCTTGCTTGCATCCCAAGTACAGCGTAGCCAGACTCCTCATTGTATGGTACCTCCTGATCACTTAGCACAGATCGGGAGAGTCACCGGGTTCAGCCCTTTCACACTCGGGGTAATGAGCGCAGAAGACTTGTGTTGGTTAGGCTTCATCTTATTTCTTCTCGGGAAAGTTCTTGGTTTGTTCGACTAGGCAGCGTGTCCTGGGAAAAGTCGCATTAGCTGTCTGGGGTGCTTGTAGGGGGAGCAAGGGTACCAGAGCTGATGATGAGCCTTGCCAGTCTGACTGTGCCAAGGCCATCCGACCACTCTCTGCGGTATTTTATTGTTAATCAGTAAAACATAATACTAAGTCTATTTATACGCCCTCAGATTTCAGTCACAACTTACCCATGTCTTTAGTTTAGTCTGTACACCGTGTGAGTTTTACAGTCACATTACCACCGGGTACCCATGTATTACTGATGAAAGAGTCTTGCCTATGGAGATATCACATGTAACCTGTCTCTGAGTGTGGGTAAGGAACCGACGCTCCAAAAACTGTCAGTGCCATGCTGCTGATTACCGTCACCCATCCAGCTACACTCTGAGACCACATTGGCCACGTGTAAATTGACAGATTGTGTCACGTGTAAATACTTAAGCCCTGATTCGACAAGCGGTGTATTGGAAATACCTGTACAATAATAGGTTGATCATAGAGATACCCTCAACAAATCAATTTGTTCCTTGACTCTTGTTGCCACTCTTATACTCAGCCATACAAGAGGCTATACTGGTAGTAACAGAACCATTCTGACATTCTGAGATGATTGGCCTCACCATTCTAGTCTCCTTCTGTCTTCAGTACACCTACAGCCATACCGTGGTTCGTCACTTCACACGGGCTGAGGAATTAGATGATAAAGTTGGGAACAACTGGAATCGGGAATTGGCCTACGACACATTTGTTGACTGTGCAGGAATTTGTTTTCAGAATAAAACCTGCCATAGTTTCTCCTTCTACTCCGGGGCGTGTTATATTCGTAACACATACGATGTCTACACAGATATCACATATCTGGATTCACCTGGAATGAAGACGTTCTTGAAGAAAGGTAAGCAATCGTGATAGAAAAGGATGGTGAATGAATGTTGTTTATTTCACACAGTGTGTGCACATTTTAAAAGATGCAACGTGCTTTAGGTTCTCATTTCATTACGTTCTTCACTCACCGGAGTCTACATGAACAGAGATGGGCCGCCATATGGCTGGAATATTGCTGAGTGCGGCGTAATAATAAACTCACTCACTCACCAGAGATGGAGACAAACTCAAAGATAGCTACGTCGGTATGAAATACAGGTGAGTGAAGTTGACACAATGTGTAGAAAGTTTTAAAAACGAGACTTGTTCTTGTTTCGCATTTTAACGGGCACAACACAAACTCTCAGTCTCTATTTCTTAACTCAACGTGAATGAAACATTGTGAGCTGCTGAGAAACAAGGCTGTTGTGATAGTCAGTATGTATTTCAAGGCCGAAAGTGACTATACTATTTGACCATGGTTGCCGAGAGAGGACATCCGTTCTTGACTTCACGTGTGACGGCGAGAAAGCAAAACCCCGAAACAGGAAACCAATAGCACGAGATGAAAAAGATGATTGGTTGGTTTGTTGTTTTACGTCGAACACAGCAATATTCCAGCTATATGGCGTCGGTCTGTAAATATCGAGTCTGGACCAGACAATCCAGTGATAAACAGCACGAACATCGATCTACGCAATTGGGATAAGATGAAATGTGTCAGCCAAGTCAGGGAGCCTGACCACACGGTCCCGTTAGTCGCCTCTTACGACAAGCATTTCAGAAAGAAAGAGTGAGTGAGTGAGTTAAAAGTTAACGTCACCTCGGCAATTCCAGAGAGAAAGAATCTAAGATGGGGAGAAAGCGTAAACTTCGCCTTTTTTACAAAATACAGAATAATATGGCACCATCGTACCTTATTGATCTTGTTCCTGGGGACGTAGCATCTAAATGTAGCTATAATCTTCGCAACTCTGATGATATCTCACTTCCTTTCTCGCGATTAAAATTTTCCCATGATTCTTATTTTTCATCCACAATTAGAATGTGGAATGAACTTCCAGTTGAAGTGAGAAAAAGCGAGTCATTGAATTCTTTTATATCGAATATTGTTATAAAACATAAAACTGCTCCTCAATACTTTGATTCTGGACCGAGAATCACTAACATCATCCTTACAAAACTACGTTACACCTGTAGTCAGTTGAATTATGATCTATTCCGTGCTGGTTTAAGAGATAACCCAAGTTGTTCTTGTGGAAATGTTTGTGAAAATTCTTATCATTACTTATTTGACTGTCAATTATATACAGTACAGAGAACTATCATGATGACTAATTTACGCAGTATTACAAATGTGGATATAACCTATGAGTTACTATTACATGGCAATGCAGATCTGACTGTTCACATAAATCAAAACATATTTAAAATTGTTCAAACATATATTTGTCATTCAAAACGATTTTCTTAAATGTTGCAATTGTTCCTCTTTTCCCATATTTCTGCTCTGTTCTTCTCTGTCCATCTTGTAGAATGAATGTAAATAATACTATGTAAATACTACGGAGAGGGTGTTCTAAGTTGTATAACTTGTATCCAATCCTTTTCTCATGAATAAAATATGTTTAAAACAATATAGCTGGAATGTAGATGAATGCGGCGTCAAACAAACAAACAAATAGCACCATAAACTTTTAAAATTCAAACAGTATGAATGAAGTTTGTAAGTATGTTTTTCAACTTGCATATCTAGCTGTCCAAGGTTGGAGGTGATAGGTTTCTGGAAGAAGAAGGTAAAGCGTTGTTGAAGTTCGACGGTAAGGGCCAGATCGTCTCCCTCACAGGTTCCAACCCCATGCATGCTGACGCCATGACACATATAGCCAAATCAGGGACAGTATTCTTCCTTGACTGCTCAAATAAGGAAATCATCAACAGGTTAAACATGATGAAGGTCAACAGAATCGTAGGTCAAGGTGACGGTGCTAGTATGGAGGAAATACTCAAATACCGACGTCAATTCTATGAAAAACATTATGACGTCAGGGTTGTTTGCGAGGAAGGAGAGACCCCAGAAAGCATTGCTAACAAAATAAAAAACAAGTATAATAGTTTTGTCTACGACAAAGGCTACGTGTCGACCAGAGGCTCCACCACCAAACCCCGTGTTCCGTTTTTCCACACGGTTCTCAAAGGGCTAGCGGAAGATGGCGGCCTCTACACAATGGCGGGAGACTTGCCAAGATTTACAAATGGCCAGCTTGACAGATTGGTGCATTGCGACTACAGAGAGAGGGCGCTAGGTATCCTTGAACAACTCATTCATCCTTTTGATCTCTCGCCAAGGTTACTACAGAATTTCGTAAATGATGCTTACCATTGCGAATCCTTTGCTTCCGAGGATATTTTCCCAGTGCGCCACCTAACGGGGAATCAGTACATTCTGGAACTGTTTCATGGGCCTACGGGATCTTTTAAAGATGGCGCTCTACAGCTCATGCCGATGTTCTTCACAGCAGCCATGGAGAGTGAAAGACGTTTCGGTGAACGCAACACGTGTAGACCTGTACCTCTGACCTGTGAGTGAGCTACAATATTTATCTTTGAGTTAGTGAGTGAGCTACAATATTTATCTTTGAGTGAGTGAGTGAGTGAGCTACAATATTTATCTTTGAGTGAGTGAATGAGGAGTGAGTTATTACTTTATGTCACCTTGTCACACTTTCAGTGAATGGGGTTTTAAACTCTAGCTTTGTGTTTTGAATGGGGGTTTTATTTAACGTGACCTTGTGAGAGACTTTCAGCCAAACTGTAGCTTTGTGTTAGTGAATGGGGTTTTATTTAACGTGACCTTGTGAGACTTTCAGCCAAACTGTAGCTTTGTGTTAGTGAATGGGGTTTTATTTAACGTGACCTTGTGAGACTTTCAGCCAAACTGTAGCTTTGTGTTAGTGAATGGGGTTTTATTTAACGTGACCTTGTGAGACTTTCACCAAACTGTAGCTTTGTGTTAGTGAATGGGATTTTATTTAACGTGACCTTGTGACACTTTCAGCCAAACTGTAACTTTGTGTTAGTGAATGGAGTTTTATTTAACGTGACCTTGTAAGACTTTCAGCCAAACTGTAGCTTTGTGTTAGTGAATGGGGTTATATTTAACGTGACCTTGTGAGACTTTCAGCCAAACTCTAGCTTTGTGTTAGTGAATGGGGTTTTATTTAACGTGACCTTGTGACACTTTCAGCGAAACTGTATCTTGTATTAGTGAATGGGGTTTTATTTAACGTGACCTTGTGACACTTTCAGCGAAACTGTATCTTGTATTAGTGAATGGGGTTTTATTTAACGTGACCTTGCCACACTTTCAGCTACACTGTACCTTTAAGCTAAGGGGTTATTTAACGCCAGCGTGTCAAAATGTAGAAGCATACGTGAGCTAGAATATCAATGTTATACGGAAAGTACACAAATAATATCAGATAGAATACATCAATACCCTAAAATAGTAATAGCGCATTGCTCAAAAGTTTGCTCTAAAGCACAACACAACAATGACAATCACAACAATCTCTTTGCATTAGAAAAACTGTTGTTTTACTTTTGTTAATGACCGAAATATATGAGAAAATATGACAGTATGGATCTTTGATTGATCAGTGATCGGATGTCTTTGTGTACATATGTAAACATTTGTCAAACAAAACTAAGACTATCGATTATCGTAACCATGTATATAAACACAATTAAATGGGTCGAGGTCTTGGGTTTGCTCGGTGCAGGTTACAGTTTCATGTCTATCGGGATATACAAAAGGAAGTTACCCTGCACCTTCCAACGACCTATAATTCCGATGGGTTAGCCTAGATGTTAAAGCGTTCCCTCCTCAATCTGCGAGTGAGTGAATTTTGCTGAACGCCGCATCTGAAAAGGAATTGAGTGTTGGAAACAGTTTTTGTAAGTGCAAAGAAGCTGTGACCCGAGTTTGAATCCCAACTTGGGTACTTTATATGATCCCATTACTGGTGTACCCAGAAATGATACGGCAAGTGTATGGCTAAAACCCGTAGAAAACCAGACTCATCCACTTTACGTCATCTTGAATGAAAAGGGGCGGAGGGGAAGCCTAGCGGTTAAAGTGTTCGCCCGTCACGCAAGACCCTGGTTCGATTCACCACATGGGTACAATGTGTGAAGCTCCTTTATGGTGTGCCCACCGTGATATTGCTAAAAGCGGCGTAAAACTCAAACTCCTTCACTCACCTGATTGAGGTGAACTGAGGTGATATTCCACAATAACTAATGTAAAAAGAACAACATGCATGGCCGAATTTGTACTTGATTCTTTCAATATGCAGCCGATGCGGTTCAAATAAAAGTACTCTTAGTTCGCATTTTCAAAACACAAAAGTTTTAAATATCGTGTTGTAAATATTAACGAACAGCTTGTCTTCATGTCTGGACCAGACAAACCAATGATTGATTTCATGAGCAACGTTGGAGCAAGTTGACACGAAATCAACTAATAGCTTGGTCTGGCCAACCATATACATTGTTGCCTATTACGACCAACATAATACACGTTGCTTAAGAGTGAGTGAGTTTAGTTTTACGCCGCACTCAGCAATATTCCAGCTATATGGCGGCGGTCTGTAAATAATCAAGTCTGGACCAGACAATCCAGTGATCAACATCATGAGCATCGATCTACGCAGTTTGGATACGATGACATGTGTCAACCAAGTCAGCGAGCCTGATCACCGATCCCGTTAGTCGCCTCTTACGACAAGCATGGGTTACTGAAGATCAATTCTAACCCGGATCTTCACGGGTCTATACGCGTTTCTACTTAAATATACGTGTTCGTTATAAACGTACTTTTGTGTATTAGCTTCGTGAACACAAACCTCTCAACACATGTACGAACTAGTTACACAGAATAATTAACGAGTGAAAAGCTCAGGCATTGTAATTATTGATGTCCGCTTGGTTACATAACAATCAGAAATGAAAATGTCAGGATATGATGACCTCAAAATTGCTTTTGATACTTTCCGTCAATGTTATATTAGAAAACAATGCTTATAATCCATATCTCTAGCTATGTTTAACACATATTTGTTTCTATACACAATACAGTTTGTTGTTGGAGACCCAGCCGTCAAGTCAGCGTGAAATGTAACATATGTTATAATTGATATTATACTCTCTTCGTAAAGTACAGATTCTAGTACTTTGTTGGGTTGAGTCCCATCTGGGATTCGAAGCCACGCCCTCAGAGTCAGGCACCTACTCGCCAGCACACAAAGTCAGTCGTCTCACTCTAGGTGATTGGGTGTTACATTTGACCACTATCTAAATGACATTGTGTATTCAAAAATCAGCGTGAGTTTGGGATCTTATTAAGATGGGAGACACAAACAAAGGGTTTCAATGTTTGTATCTATCTCGATGTAAATGACCTTGACCTTTCGATACATAGCAGCATCCGGTACCTGCAAGTGGCATCTTGGTTACACGGTGTAACGTTTGATTTGTTCAGTCTTATTAAAATTATGATCTGTAGACATGTCCAGAAGGAGGTCGCGTCAGGCAATAAGTTAATCAGAGTCAAGGCTTAAAATATGGGTACAGCGAACGAAGCATTCACCCAAACATATCTAATTTCCGTCTCTCGAAAACGAATATGAACGAGGAATAGCGATTGCAAAAAGAGTTATAATGTAAAGTGTTTATTGGGTAAGCGTTAGTTTGATATCAGTACATGAATTTGTGTTACCTGAAATGTAATTCCTGACATTTTATACCATATTTAATGATATCTAATCTGCGAAATGATAATGTCAAATGTTTTGTAGATGTGTTCAAATAAAAAATATGACATCGATGAAACTACATTTTGGAATATCTATACATTTATTATAATAATAAATAATAAATCTATTTATTGACGTAGCCAAAAACATTTTAGATAGCACGAAAAGAATTATTGATTTTTTAAAATCAAGATAAAGAGTAAATAGAACCTCAGACACACATTTTTATTGCAGTTACCTGATCGTGGTGGCAACCTCGGGGGACACAGGGGGTGCGGTGTTGGACGGATTCAGTAGACATGCTGGTGAGTACACTCTATAACGTACTAAAGTTCTTTATTAATGTACTGGATGTTCAATATATAGTGACACAATTACTAATATTTTATATCTTTAATGCGTTAAATAATTGAACAGTGTATCAGGGACTTTGAGATTTGCATTAGCCGGTGAACGTCAGATGACCATAGAGTTTGTAAGATGATTGGCCAAATCTCCGACTGTCCATCACATCAATTTGAATGAAACACCAAACTCATTAATGTCGCATGAATTCGCCTCTGTTCTCAAGACAATCCCTAATTCGACGAGACATAGTTCTAATCAAACGTCCGATGTCAGCTTGGTTCATCCCATCTCATTCTTCCTGCATGGCGGGTCATTTGGGTAGCCTAGTGGATAAGGCGTTGGCTCGTCGCGCCGAAGACCCGTATTCCAACCCCCACATGGGTACAATGTCCCCCTCAGTGATATTGCTGGAATATTGCAGGTCAGCAACTTCTTTGAACCATGTTCGTTTGGCGACAAGTCTGGTCTGAATGTTGGCCATGCTAAGGTGCTCCTCTTGGAGGTACTCAGTAACAATATATACAGCCCAAGTGACATGTCCGTGTATAACACGTAAAGGTATTCTGCCAGTCACAGCGATCCCACCTAACACCATTATTGAGCCACCCTAAGAAAGATCGTCCTGGCTAACATGCACGGCTTGAAAACGCTCATTCCGACCACGCCACACTCACCTGTCAAGTGGGGCATCCATTGATCCAATAAAAAACAACAACGTTTGCCTAACGCCAATGGCCCAACGTTGGGGTACATGGGGACGTCGGGTTCCTTGTTCCATGCAGGTTCCATCTGTGTAACCGATTACACATCGTCTGTCCACATCTGTAACTCTATGAAGCTCACCTCCAACATCATACAGCTGTAATACTGCTGAAACAAATATACTCTAACATCTGTAACTCTATGAAGCTCACCTCCAACATCATACAGCTGTAATACATCATACAGCTGTAATACCACTGAAACAAATATACTCTAACATCTGTAACTCTATGAAGCTCATCTCCAACATCATACAGCTGTAATACTGCTGAAACAAATATACTCTAACATCTGTAACTCTATGAAGCTCACCACCAACATCATACAGCTGTAATACTGCTGAAACAAATATACTCTAACATCTGTAACTCTATGAAGCTCACCTCCAACATCATACAGCTGTAATACTGCTGAAACAAATATACTCTAACATCTGTAACTCTATGAAGCTCACCTCCAACATAATACAGCTGTAATACTGCTGAAACAAATATACTCTAACATCTGTAACTCTATGAGGCTCACCTCCAACATAATACAGCTGTAATACTGCTGAAACAAATATACTCTAACATCTGTAACTCTATGAGGCTCACCTCCAACATCATACAGCTGTAATACTGCTGAAACAAATATACTCTAACATCTGTAACTCTATGAAGCTCACCTCCAACATCATACAGCTGTAATACTGCTGAAACAAATATACTCTAACATCTGTAACTCTATGAAGCTCATCTCCAACATCATACAGCTGTAATACTGCTGAAACAAATATACTCTAACATCTGTAACTCTATGAAGCTCACCTCCAACATCATACAGCTGTAATACTGCTGAAACAAATATACTCTAACATCTGTAACCCTATGAAGCTCACATCCAACATCATACAGCTGTAATACTGCTGAAACAAATATCTGCTCATTATATAGTCACAATTGTATAATCAACTCTGCTTTTGACAGAGATTTCTTATGAATGTGGCGAGGGTTTTGTCGCTTCTATTTGGTGGGCCAGATCGGCGTCTGATATCAACGTTATTTGTCTGTCTATATAGTTTTTTCACCAATCATATTGCAGCATACATTCGTTTCGCAATAAACGACAACGGTTGGTTGTTCGTGTTGTGCAGTTGTATGACAAACCGCAGCGACTTACACGTATGGCCTGGTTGGTTCCCAAATCTGTGAACGTACTAAGTTTTATTAAAGACACCGGTTTTGTTGTTCTTATGACAGGTGGGTCTGGAGTGGGCGTGGTTGTCATCTACCCTTCCCGTGGAATCAGCCAACTTCAGCAACACCAGATGACCACCATGGCTGGAGACAACCTCAGAGTGATAGGTACACGGTACATACGTTGGGATGAGAGTAATAGTCTAACTACGCACAGGCAACATTTCTGTCATATTGCGACTTGAACAGCAATCATGTGCAGTCATGATACCCATCTTTCAAGAAGGAGAGGGGCGGTGGGGTAGCCTAGTGGTTAAAGCGTTGGCTCGTCACGCCGAAGACCCGGGTTCGAATCCCCACATGGGTACAATGTGTGAGGGCCATTTCTGGTGTCCCCCGCCGTGATGTTGCTGGAATATTGCTAAAAGCGGCGTAAAACCAAACTCAGTCAGTCAGTCAGTCAAGAAGGAGAATCTTTTAATGTACATTGCCTTTCAGGAAGTGGATCTGTTTGGCGGCTTAAAAGTGTAAACACAAATGTATCAAGCGGAATCATGTCTTCCAGCTATTCTATATTTTAGAAAAATGCATTAGATGTGTTCCAACATAAAATGTAGCTAGTAGCAGGTGACCGGACCAAAATTATAATGCGAATAATTTAGCATGCTACAATTCAGAGTGTAATAATGTTTTTCAATACATCACGTATTTTGCCGTTTCCTCATTTGTAGACCTTAGCTAAGAATACGCCATAATATAGGATAAGACAACCATCAGATTAATTTAGTAGTATGAGTTTGAGAGATGAAGATTCAATGGAAAGGGTCGAGAGATAGAAAAATGTACATTCTATTTGTTGTGGAGTACTGTTCGCAAAAACATCGCTTGGTATTCATCATAGTGCCATATGTCATTTATACCATGCGGGCTTAAGCAGATGCGTTTTAGAACTAGGAATCTAAAAATCCGTATTGTATTTCCAAAGGTGTTGACAGTGATTTCGACTTCTGCCAGACAACAGTTAAACAGATCTTTCAGGATGAAGAATTTGCAGATGTGCTGCAACGTGACCATTCTTGCAAACTGAGGTTGGTACTTTCTTTGTGGTGGACTGCATGTTTAACAGTTATCAACAGAATCCAGAGTTCCCTTAATACATATTAAACGATGAAATATGTTTCAGTGCCGCCAACAGTTTGAACTGGGGTCGCCTGCTTCCTCAAATCGTATATCACATCTCCGGTTACCTCGACCTTGTCAAAATGAGAGTAATCTCCCTTGGTGATCAAATCGATGTCTGTATCCCAACGGGGAACTTTGGGAATATTCTCGCAGCCTATTACGCCAAGGTAAGGCAGGGCTACATACTCACAGTACAATGCAGTTGCAGTTTCACCTTTGGAGACGTAAATCTCAGTTTGCTGAAATTTTATTCCGAAAGGACAATATGTGAGGAACTAAGATCTTATAAATTTTTTTCTTTTATAAATTGTCAATTCAGGACGTAATATGGTGTTGGTAAATAATCCTTTAACGTTTGGATTTTTTTCGCCTTGGGAAATTCCCAAACCCGCTATATCTAATCGAAATTAAATGAACGTTCTAATAGTTATAGAGAGTATACAGTTCCCTCAAGTTTAGGAATAGTCAAATGTTTTGTTTTGTTTGTGAAGCGCCACCCTCAGCAATATTCCAGCAGTGATCAACATCATGACATATTTCAGGAAATGGGAGTTCCAGTTCGACGCCTCATCTGCGCCTCCAACAGCAACAACGTCCTCACCGACTTCCTAAACACAGGCAACTACGACCTGACATCACGAACACTTCTCCGCACAGCATCCCCAGCTATCGACATTCTGAAGTCGTCTAACCTTGAGCGCCTGCTGTACCACGCACACGACAACGATGGCGCTGCTGTGAGCCAGCTCTATGCAGATCTTGACAGGCAGGGGAGGTTTTCAGTGTCAGACGAGGTAGGTAAACACTCCCTGGGAAGTAAAATATGTAACCCGTGAAGATTCGGGTTAGAATTGGTCTCCACCAACCCATGCATGTCGTAAGAGGCGACTAACGGGATCGGGTGGTCGGGCTCGCTGACATGGTTGACACATGTAATTGTATCCCAGTTACGGAGATCGATGCTCTTGTTGTTGATCACTGGATTGTCTGGTCCAATATATACAGACCGCCGTCATATAGCTGGTATATTGCAGAGTGCGGCGTTAAATAACAAACAAACAAAAGTAAAATGTGGAAGTCTGTCTGTACGATCGGTTGAGGCATTAAGAGAAAGTCTAGTGGTTAGGACTGAAAAGCCTAGTTTGATTCAACATAGGGCAGGCCATCTTCTGATGTTCCTCGGAATGGTATTGTAGGAATGGTACCGATATTAATTATTACACTCTGTGGTTACCCTGGTCAAAGCTTAGTTCTTCTTCTTCTTCCAAGGTAATATCCCCGCCCCGACAGATAACAACTTTTGCGTTTTCAATGATGATAGTTTCTTAAAGGTCACATGCAACCAAAAAATCAAACATAATTAAAACACAATTACCACTTATTCATGACATATAATATACATTGCTGATTATGAAAACACATATAAACAAAATTATAAGCGCACAATCGAAAATCAAAAGTGCAATATTGTGTACTTGCGTTTACTTCCCAAGAAACGAAGCAGCCGGGATACCGAACCCAGTCAGAGAGGGTGGGTGTGCACTCAAGTGTAACGGCTGGTTCATTTGCAGATGCCCTCACGGCTCATTGTGTGTGTATATATAGAGATGTTGGGTTTTGTAAGTACATGCTCATTTTTTGTGTATAACATTTTGCAATCAACAGACATCATAACATGTCATGTGTTCAAGTATCACACCTGCCTGTCTGTGTAATTACATAATGTGACAGAGACCGAACTCGGGCCATAAATCAATGCGTTTTGTTTATGGTGTATAGCCTGATTGGTGTTAGGTTCAAACTGCATGTGGTCAGTGATCGCAGTTGTGTATTGAATATTGTCATTATCAGACAGGCAGGCAGACACATACCGGTAGGTGTCAATAAAACAAGACATTGAGTTCTGTCTGTGACAACGACATATCTACATCACAGTTAGAAATTCTGTCAACGCTAAATAATGACATTGCTTTTAAGTATCGAACTGAGAAAGTGACTCGGTAAGAAGAACGTGTGGTGAAACAGACAAATGAAATTATATAAACAGTTTATTTACTGTCATAACATATAAAAAGCTCGCGCCTGTGAGATATCAACAAAACATTAGGAAAATAGCTCACACCAAAGCCTTCACCGAGTATTTCAAGTTGCGCTAACCTATTTCACTGCGCACGTGCTATGAGCGCAGCCCAGCTGTTGAAACCAGTCGGGGGAAAATTAGTGAATCGTTTGAACTCCGATTTCGCGCGGTTTTTTTCATCGCGTTATTTTTCAACTTTATAACTTGAATTTGCATTTTTGATGATTTGTTTCGGTAAGTCCATACCGAAAGGTATCAGAATCTGCAAAGCTGTGTTTTACGTTGCATGTGACCTTTAAACAACTTTTTTGGTGGAGTCAAACGGACTGTAGTAATCGCGTAGGGAGGATGATTGTATGTTTTTGTTTGTTTGTTTGTTGTTCAGCGCCGTACCCAGCAGTATTCCAACTATATGACAGCGATAAAGAGATAGGGAGAATAATAGTTGTCTTTTTTAGTTATTCAGGACATAACGTTTCTGGACAAAATATCGATGGACTCTGTTTATTCTTTTTACATGTTGAAGCCCAGGTTGTCGTATGTTTCAGGTTCTTAGACGTATTCAGAGTTCGTTCGTTGCAGGTTCCTGTGATGAACAGGCTTGCCAACAAACGGTACTAAAAACATACAAAGACACAGGTACGTTCAGTAATTGAAGGAGCCATGGTGAGTGAGTGAGTGAGCGAGTGCAACATTTGAATCTCCGTTTATGATACTGAGGCGTACACACCTGCGACCTCTACTGTCGGACCAACTTTTATAACCTGGCTAATGCCGCTTCATCATAGGCTGTCCCGTCCACCGTGAGGCGGAGCGACTGTAGTGCACGTGCTGCACGAAATACATGTGCTTGAAATTGACACGACGCACGGTGAGCATTGGAAGCTTCATACAGCTTGTTCAGCTTGACCTGATCAAGTGAATACTAATGTATTGCGTGGCCGTGTCACAACTGGTTGAGTCTATTATTGTGAAGGGGTGCACCTTTGTAAGTTGATTGTCAACATGTCCGAACAGCCGAGACAAGGTCGCCGTTTGACATCACATGTGTCGAGAAATCGTCAGCAATGTCTTAACTTTCTTTTAAAAAGAAGCTACAGATGGTTTAATGTTTCCGATTCGTACTTATAGGCATCGAGCAGCAGCAGCGACGTTAGTAACATTCTCTGCTCCCCTACTTAATGAAGTTAACTCGACCTGCCGTTTGTGCCATTTGACCTCCCGGGTCATGCATATGTAGAGTTGCTCAGGCCAAGCTGAACAAGCTGTAGTTGAAACGACTGTCCGCTATCAATAAGAGTGACAAGGTGATTGGATGTGTGGGTGGGTGGTTGGTTGGTTGGTTGGTTGAGTGAGTTAGCCTTCAACGCTGTCCGAGTTTGGACCTTATACATCTAACATGCCCTTGCTGTCAAAACGTTAAACATTAATTATTCCCTGTGTTACTAAACGTAAAACAGATTTGCCTGGTCTACCAAAAACTACCTATATCTATTTCAGGGTATCTTCTCGACCCCCACACGGCAGTGGCCAAGTCGGTGGCAGATAGACTCGGGGACAGATCTTGTCCCGTGCTCATCTCGGGAACAGCCCACTATGCCAAGTTCGCTGACAGCGTTCTCCCTTTCATAGGACAGATGACGTCATCAGAGGATGCATCAGTGTCGGGACTTATTCGGAAGTCACTTGAGTTGAAACCAAGGCCTGCCATGCATCGGGACTTGGAAGACATGACAACAAAACCTGTTGTCCACAGGGAAACGTCTTCAGCTGATTATGAAAGTGTCAAAAGGCACATCAGGAATTTTATAGAACATTTAAAGAGCTAAGCCATATTAGCCATATTAGGAGCATTACCTTCTGTTTGAGGGGGTGGTGTTAAGCATTGTACCAGCTTGGCGGGGATCGATGGGGTAGCCTAGTGGTTAAAGCGTTCGCTTGTCACGCAGAAGACCCGGGTTCGATTCCCCATATGGGTACAATATGTGAAGCCCATTTATTGTGTCCCCTGCCGTGATATTGCTGGAATATTGCTAAAAGCGGCGTAAAACTATTCTCACTCACTGTTTGTTTGACCAGCCGAATAGTTGTGTCGACTTTACGACAGGTATAGGTTGCGGGGGATCTAGTCTATGCTGGAAGCTCCAGGGAATATGGTTAATGAACGAGCAAGACGGATTCGGAATGACACTTCCGTAGTAAGTGAGGACATCGTGGTTAGTGTATCGGATGGACTGACCCACCATCGCGTGCTCACACGTTCTATACCGTTTGTATTTTGTGATATCCAAATATCGGTTTGGCACTTACCAGAATGGTTCAAATGACCACTAAGTATATGTGGATAATAACTTTAATGTTTGACTCTTGAATGCTCTGGTGTTATGCTATTAGTGCCACGGTCAATGGAAATTTGGTGCCGTTTGAAGTTTTATTGGTTATCGTGGGGAATGGGGGAAGTCAGACTTTGGAACGTTCCCTGAGGGGACGATACGTAACCCCTGTATGGGCAAAATAAAAATACTGATTGTGGACGACGAACGGATGTGGTAATCAGGTTTAATGAATGAGTGGGTTTGTTGTCGGGTGGATGAGTGAGGAGTGGGTGGGTCGTATCGGGTGGATCAGTGAGGGATGGGTCGGTTGCCGGGTGGATGAGTGAGGGATGGGTAGGTGGATGAGTGGGTGGGTTGACGGGTTGGGTTATCGGGCGAATGAGTGGGTGGGTTGTCTGGTGGGGAATGGGTGGGTTGTCGGGTAGGTGGATGAGTGGGTGGGTTGGTGAGTGAGTGAGGGATTGGTAGGTTGGGTTATCGGGCGATTAAGTTGGTGGGTTGTCGGGTCGTCGGGTAGGTGGATGTGTGGGTGGGTTGTCGCATGGGCGAATGGATTTTCGGTAGGTTGGCTAGTGAGTGAGTGGCTGGGTGAATGGTTGAGAATTAAGAAACCAAATACGGAATCGTTTGTGATACAGGGCTATGATTACGAATGGCACACTAAGAACACTACATTCCATTTCCTTACATGTTTATGACTTTCTATTTTACGAACATAACATATTGAAAATTTGGTAACATATTGAAAATTTCATGAAATGTATAAATACATATCTGTACATCAGTGTGATATTGTATCATTCAATCGCAACAAGTCTATTTTATTTGCACAAAACTAAATGTATCCGAATTATCCAAAAGAATAGATTTCAAACTCATTATTGAAACTGCTCGATCAATATGGTCTCTGAGAACCTTGATCAATACTTACTTCCTACCTTTCAAGTCAATGAAACTAGATACAGCAGCTCGATTACAAGTAAATGACAAATGTGGCCCCTTTTATGTCACATCCGTAAGTCGTGAGGTGTTTGCCATGATCATATCAAAGTTTTATTCATAAAAATCAAATCGTGATGTTGACCATGCTCAGTTATCTTTGTCATCCAGCACGTGTCAGTTTACATACACGGAACAGCAGGAAAACCCGTAAGTGTTTCAAGACGACTTTTATCTGTTTTAGTGACCGACCACCTGATAGTGTGGGGCTGGGGCTGGGCGTGGGGGGTGGTGCTCATAGGCCTGGTATACACGTACTGTGGGAACAAGCTTGGGAACACAGAAAAGTACAAGTGTTCCCTTAGTCATTTCCAGCTTTCTTCGCATGCACTGTGGGCGAAAACCTGGGAATAATTAATTAAACCCTTGTGTTCATCAGTTGCTGTATATATAAGTCACAAAACATATCTGGTTTTGCAGAGCTAGATATTTCACTCGGTTATGAAATATACACTGGATCCTGCCACAGCTTGCGCTGACCAACCACGTGAATGGTCATTTAGAATGAGGGATGTGGTTCTGTGCAACATTTTTACCTTCCACATTTTATGTCCTCTATCATTCCATGATTCCTTTCAGCCCTGCATGTAACCGTTTGTTTTCATGACTAGGCCTCATTGTAATAAACAGACCTCCCAAAACTTCCTGAATCAATCTTTTGGATATTGTAGCATCAAGGTTGATAAGTACATCCCTAATCGACTGAGATGCTACAGGTGGCAGCGTTGAGGTTGTGTCTCGAGAGCATGTGATAAGCAGGCGTCTTGTCATCCTTGTGGTGTGAATTGTACAGTGAGTGAGTGAGTTTAGTTTTACGCCGCACTCAGCAATATTCCAGCTATATGGCGGCGGTCTGTAAATAATCGAGTCTGGACCAGACATACCAGTGATCAACTGCATAAGCATCGACCTGCGCTATTGGGAACCGATGACATGTGTCAACCAAGCCAGTGAGCCTGAACACCCGATCCCGTTAGTCGCCTCGTACGACAAGCATGGGTTACTGAAGATCAATTCTAACCCGGATCTTCACGGGAGACAAGCATGGGTTACTGAAGGTTCATTCTAACCCGGATCTTCAGGGGAGACAAGCATGGGTTACTGAAGGTTCATTCTAACCCGGACCTTGACGGGTCGGGAATTGTACAGACAGTGATGAGTGAGAAATGAATCCCTGTTGTGTGAATTGTGGTGGTAACCATGTTTCATCTTCCAAAGACTGTCCTACTTGGAAAGGCGAATCTAAAATCGTAAAACTAAAACATGAACGAAACATCAACATCTCCGATCTTACTCTGCAGGTGTTTCACGACCACTTCTACGACCTGTTCTCCAACCTGTGTCCTGTACAACGGTTTTACCCAGACCACAAGCGATTCACCTGTAATTTCACCATCTGCTTATTCGGCAACTGTATTAGAAACCACAAGCTCGCAGCTACTCCAAAACCAGCTAAAAGGAAAAATCTAAAAGGAAAAAAAATCAGATCAGGTCGTCTCCCTAAGGGTCCTAAAGATCCTATTTCTAGGTTAAAAGAGGTCTGGTGTATTTGAGGACATGGAGGTGTCCACTCCACACGACCACGCTCCAGGAGCCATTCGCCAAGGAAGAACTGTTATTGCTCCATGATGGCCAATACCGCAACCTTACAATGGAATTGTCGAAATAATTTGGATGAAGTGAAACTTTCATCACAGGAATTTAATCACCTCGCCTTTAGTCTTCAGAAAACTATACCTAACTTCCGTCAGTATAACATGTTTAATTCACACGCACAATATACTAAAAGCACAGGTGCCAGCATTCTATGATAGCAAGTGACGATAGATAAGGCTGTCGCTCTAAATACCAATCAGTGGGTGCAGTAGGCAAATCTTTACACATTACTATCACTTCTTTATAATCCACTATCAACTGCACCTCAGAAAAGGATTAAGATGATCTTATCACTCAATATCCTTAGTCGTTCTTGCGCATGGGAGATCTTTATGGTCACAACACATATTGTGTGCAGTTGATCAAAATCACAAAGGTAACGTTCCGGATGAGCTGTGTCTAATTAATGTTGGTGAGTGAGTGAGCGAGTGAGTTGGGTTTTACGCCGCTTTTAGCAATATTCCAGCAATATCGCGGCGGGGGGACACCAGAAATGGACTTCACGCAATGTACCCATGTATTGAATCGACCCGGGTCTTCGGCGTGACGTGCGAGCGCTTTAACCATTTGGCTACCCAGCCTCACCATTTAATGGTACCAACATGTATTGGCACCCAGCAAATGGTACGTTCTCTGCTCTGGATTTATCCATTGCTGATCCATTACTTGATGAGTTCTCTTGGTCTGTGACCGCCTCCGTGGTGTAGTGGTTAGAGCGTCCGCCCGGAGAGCGGAAGGTCGCGGGTTCGATCCCCGACCGCGTCAAACCAAAAGACGTTAAAGTATGGTACTTGTTGGTCCCTGCCTGGCGCTCGGCATTAATGGGTACAACAAGGACTGGTCGCCTCGGAGTCAGTATAATGTGTCTGAGTGGGGTATTAATGCTTCACTGCGGCATGGTATCTCAGTGGGCTAGCACTATAAAACCAGCTTAAGTCTGGGCTAGTACAACAGCCGCACATACACATACACACGCATGCACGTCGTCATATGAGCGAAATATTCACAAGCACGACGTAAAACCCAATTTCACCTCACCTCACCTCTCATGGTCTGTGCACGATGACCTTTGTGGTAGAGGTCATTACCCTACCATACTTGAAAGTGTCACTCATTGCAAAGGACCCTCCCATTGATAAATGGAAGCTGACAAAGGTTGACAGGCAGACCTTTAATACAGCGTCATGATGAATTATTCTTTTGACAATTCTATTTATGACATTGACCAGATCAGATCATATTCGGATAAATTAGTAAAAACTGCCACTGAAACTATCCAAACAACAAACCTGTCAACGAAGGACAGTAAAACCAACTAGAATATCACAGTATCAAGAAATAAAACTAGCATCAAATTAGGACAAGACAGTATAAAAATGGGCTATAGATCACCAACAACTGAAGGTAGATCACCACATTAAGGACCATGGGGACTTACAGTGCCTTTGCTACCTGCATGGACCCTAGTTGGATTTACGCCATCCCTTCAGCCGCTGGCGATTGTAGGAAACATTTAGCCGAAGTTTAAAAGAACAGAAATACTACGTTTAAAAATGTAATAAGCTTAAATTTAGCTTTGAAAGTTTTGGGACTTACGTACCGTCTCAGGAGGACAATAATTTTACGATACTTTAACCCCCTTTGAGGATACAGCCCCTAACAATTGCAGTTGCTAATTTATACTACCATGTTTGAAATACCATTTATCTATTTATAAAACATTTTATTTAAAATTTATGTACTAATTCTATTTCCTTTAAAATTCAATTATTAAATGATAATTAACATTATATAAAAATCCTAATTGTTTTGGCACTGAAATATTTATCCCTTGTGATGAAAAAAACCAATAGTCAAGCAGGACGTGCTTGACCGTGATTCTTTCATCACAAGGGATACACCACGGAGGATCTTCACCTTTTAACAGGTGTTCCTGAGTATATCTACTATGGCCAAAACGACATCGTCGCTTAATGACCTCTTCAAATCTGGACTGACAACCCAAGTAGGTGTAG